ATTGTAAATCTTAATGGACAAGGAGCACTGGTTATGCGTTAAGGGCTCATGCTATTATCTCTACGGTTCGTAGAGTCTTCATTATCCAGCTACCTGAAAACTGAGGACCTCTACTGAGAACATACATATGCTCTCTTAAATCCTTGCCCCGCTTATCTGCTCTGTCCCGGACAACTTTAAACTCAAATGAAATATCAAACGAAATTCTACACAGCAAATTCTGCATGCGCTTATAGATGATCAAGTTTCTGAAAGCTGTTCTCGCACAATCAATAAAAGAATATATTAAGCTCGCAGCTGTCAATATGTGATAACTGCATGCAGTTGCATGGATGATGACCGGACCATATCTAAATCCCGTATACCTGAAGCATTCAAGCATATTGTTTATTTCGTTGCATTATGTGATGCTAACATCTGTCGACAATTCCCATAATGCGATGTTCCGGTATTCATGATATCTTTCATAGCCTGGTCATAGGTTTTATGCTTCTGCTGTTTTTAAGTCCACTCCACTATATCTTTGTCCTGTGTATCAAGCATACATGCAGCGTTGTCGCATCAGTTTGCCATATGTACCTTCAGGACGCAATTGCATCACTCTGTATCTCTGTCCTGATTGCCATGACTGATCTGTGTATCACAAATTAACACAGCGTTGGTTCATCTATTGGCAATGGGGGCGGTGGGGTAGCCTAATGGTTAAAGCGTTGGCTCGTCACGCCGAAGACCCGGGTTCGAATCCCCACATGGGCACAATGTGTGAAGCCCATTCCTGGTGTCCCCCGCCTTGATGTTGCTGGAATATTGCTAAAAGCGGCGTAAAATCAAACTCAGTCAGTCAGTCTATTGGCAATGTGTACCTTGCTATGAAGTATCAAGCACTTTCCCATCACACATATTCCTTGTCCCACTCTCAATTATAGAGTACTTCGTTAGCATCCAACTTCAATGCACTTCACTCAAACATATCAGGTTTGTCTCCAATACTGAATCACTCTTTATCTCTAATGTTCAATCATTTACCACGTTTGTCTCCAATGTTCATGAGCAATTCTAGACATTTCAAAAGAGACCCGTGAAGATCCGGGTTAGAATTGATCTTCAGTAACCCATGCTTCTCGTAAGAGGCGACTAACGGGATCGGGTGGTCAGGTTCGCTGACTTGGTTGACACGTGTCATCGTATTCCAATTGCGTAGATCGATGCTCATGCTGTTGATCACTGGATTGTCTGGTCCAGACTCGATTATTTACAGACCGCTGTCATATAATTGGAAAAGTGTTGAGTGCGGCGTAAAACTAACCTCACTTACTCAAAAAACTTTCATGCTCTGATATTTTTTCCCATAATCTTGCACTGTTCTCACAAATTGTTCTAAGCACATGATAAGTGTTTCTCCATTATTTACTCACTGTTCTTAGTCTGTCTCTTATACTTATGCGTAGTTCTAAAAACTGGATAAGTGATCTGACGTATTGCCAACTTTGTCACCAATAATCTTGCACTGTTCTCACAAATTGTTCTAAGCACATGATAAGTGTTTCTCCAATATTTACTCACTGTTCTTAGTCTGTCTCTAATACTTATGCGTAGTTCTAAAAACTGGATATTGATCTGACATATTGCCAACTTTGTCACCTATAATCTTGCACTGTTCCCACAACTTTTTCTGTATATTTTATAAGAGTTTCTCCAATATTCATGTACGGTCCTCATGCACTTGTCTCAAGTATGAATAGTCCATGCAGGTAGCAAAAGTACTGTAAGTCCCCATGGTCCCTAGTTTGGTGATCTACCTTCAGTTGTTGGCGATCTATAGCCAGTTTTTATATTGTATTGTCCAAATAGTGCTATTAGTTTTAATTTTCCAAACTAGTTGTAGTTGTAATTGTGATATTCTAGTTGTTTTACTGTCCTTCGTCGACAGGTTTTTATAATATGCATCTATTCCATTCAATGTCACATATGTTCTCGTCACGATATGGCTGAAATATTGCCGATGTGACGTTAAATATTAACTCACTCACTCACTCAGGTATGAATCACAGTTCTCTCAGTTTGAGAGGTTCTATCTCCAACACTTATGCACTGTTCTGCACCAACAACCATCAAATAATCATGTTTTCCCTTGACATAAATTCCCTTCCAACCCGGCAGTAAATCATCACGAAACACCTGAAACGGAGACAACGAAGTGCAATTCTAACGTAATAACCCCAAAAACATCAGTGTTATTTACGAGCGTGTTAGACCTGTGTCACTGTCTCAGATGACTCTGTACATAGGTCAGCATTTTACGCCATGTCAGTTTAACTACGTAGTGTACTAATGATAAGGACACAATGGTTGTTTTGATGTGAAGGCACGGTATTGTCCATACGCTGAGTTCATGCATCATTCCCCCACACGGTCATAATTGAAAATCAATATGTCTACACGCACCAGTTCTTAACAAGAACCACATTAGCGTTTACGGCTGTTCTGATGCTCGCTTGCGTCGCTATCCAGACCAAATAAGCTTATTTTGGCTGAACATAACACAGAGAGCTTAATGCTGTTTGTGTAATCCTAACTAAAGCTCTACTGATTCTCACCTAACCAAACACATGTGCACGTATTCAACTTAGTACGGATTTTGAAGACAAATGGTTCCATATTGGTGGGTGTTTCTTTACCTTTATTATGGGCACGGTGATGGAAAAATGGATAATTATAAATAAATGCTAAACTGAAAGTGAAGTGCAATTGTATGCTCTTACAAAAATGTAGGTGTCCTGAATTATATAATATATATTCCAAGTATTGTAACAAATGATATTAATCATTGATACCAAACATCCTATGTTGGAACATTTTGTATGTATAAGGTAACACCAATACAAATCCGACAGTTTGCATGCCTCGAACGGATTATAGCATAATACATTTGTAAGCTGTCATTTCTGATTTTGAAACTTTCAAGGCAGATCAATCAATCCCTGTTGATCATTGTCACTGTCAGTCCTTTATATTCTGCTTAAAGCTGGATTTGAGTGATTTCATGTTTCTGTGTGATCTGGTGATGCTGCATCTGAAACGTGCGAAGAGTCTATAAGCTATTGACTTGCTGAAGAACGGCAGATATCATCATACAGTGCCCAGGACGTTCAATGTTTCAAAGTCTGTGCTTAGCAGACCGTGGTAGGGGACCAACAAACCCAGCATGTTATCGACCCATCACAGGTCAACGTTAAGAGTATGATTGATCCGAAAAAGGCTACACGGAATCGGGTTTAAACTGCGAATCAAATTTGTGCAAACTCGCTTCAGGCTGCTGGAGTTCGAAGTCACACAATTAGAAATCGTCAACAGCTTATGTCCACGGTCATTTGTCAAACACGTGTCAAATGTATAATCGTCGACGATTTCACGTACTCTTTCGAGGAGAGTTCCGATTCACAATGCACTTACTTCAAGATTGGGGTTATGTCTGAAGTGAACGTCAAAACAATGTCTACCTGAGACCCTGCGTCAGATCTGGCCATGAATCGTTTATTGTATCAACCGGAATCACTCTGAAAGGGTAAACGACTCGTCAAAGCTTATCTTCAGCAGCACAACACCCATACGATGCCATGGTTAGCAATGAGCCCATGGACGGTCATAGTCTTTGGCCACCGACCTCGTTGGCTAGACTTGAGCAGGCGGTGTAAGAAGACTCTCAAGAATCGCCACTGAAATATATACTAATAGGCGCGGTATTACGTTCAAAAGATAAAAGACGTCAATTTTATTATTTCATATTTTACCCCCCATCGTCCTTCAAGGTCGTTTACGGTCTATAACGTGTTTCCGATTCGTTTCTTCAAGGTATTCCCGTGTTTGTTTTGGAAGAGCACATTGTGACACTTGATTTACTCTGACCATGGACAGTAGAAAAGAATGTGTTTAAGAATGTGAAGTGCTGACACTCACACAGTGGTATATTGCGCTCAAACATTTTCTAAATTAACCTGAGAATAACCCTGTGCTTCACACTTTCTTCGCCTGCCATATATATCAGTAAAGCATACTGATGTAAATATGATGTTCAGGCTCATGAAGAGCAATGACTCATTGAAAGTCTTTTATCTGACTTAACACGACAATCCATTCAAAATATTGAACCAACCTTGCCGTTTCACTCAATGTTTTCGCAAACCACAATGAGTTCGCATTTTATTTTGTCACGGTAGAATGGAGATAAATGAATAGATATTAAAACAAAAAATATTAAACTCTTAATTCAGTTGACACATGTCATTGTATCCCAATTGCATAAATCGATACTCATGCTTTTGGTCACGGATTGGCTGGTCCAGACTCGATTATTTACAGACTGCCGCCATATAGCTGGAATATTGCTCAGAACGGCATGAAACGACAAACAAACAAACAAACACAAATCTTTTAACTTAAAGGCCAAAAAATACATAATCTCAGTACTACTATCCTGTACACTGTTCATGCTAGGATAACCTTACAGCACGGAGAACGAATCACAAGCTAAATACACACAAATGGGCGGTAAGATTCCACATTTAGACATTGCCATGGGCATAATCCACCTACAGTAAAGGGGAACGCTTCGTTAAACCAGCAAATTATAACTCTTTCAGAGATGAAAGTGAACTATAACATGTAAGCTATCCAGATGTGAGTCAACAATGCACAACAGTAATAGCATTTTCACCTCTCATTTCTCATTTAGATGTCATCACTATAAGGCTACTCTTTTATCCCATATTAATTGAAATGGAAGTAAATAATTTCAATTCCACAGTCAGCCAATTCCAATTTGACACCCGAAACCTGAATAGATTGCAAATATGAGTTCATATTATTCCAGCTGTCTTTTGTTCACCCCCAATTATAATATATAATTATTATTTTACAAAATAATTACCTGCATCGTGGGCTCTATCACATACAATATTTTGAAACGTTTTAATCTTATCTTATTTTCGTTTCTGTTTCAGCAACTCAACATATCCTTGCATCAACATTTGGCTCCCAGATGGAAAGCTTTGGACGTAGGTGCCCCACAATTAGGGAGTAAGATAAAGATCTGTGGATAAACGCAAGGAAGCTCATCGTGGTTCGTTAGGCTTGGCATCCCACACTTGGTGTTCTCTGGTAAAAGCGCTCTCAAAGAAACCTGAGCCCCACCTTCACATTGGACCTCCCTTGATGAGCGGAGGAATGTATTCACACCTGTCGCTGCACCAAACACAAGCTGTGAGGAGCCGAGATGGGGGAAGAGGAAGTACTTCTCATTGAAACCAGGAACCCAAACTTCACGGATTACCTCCCTTTGGATGACCATATTACCGGTGAATGGTTAATGACCACTCCCAGAAACTCAAAGGAATATGTGTGGACCCCTGAGGTTAAGGAACGTGTCACTGTCGTGGCGATTATAATGGTATGTACGATTGTTGGCAATTCTGTGTTAATGTTGATGCTGCTATGTAAGCAGTCGAGAAGGATTAAGAGAGTGAATGTGTTTCTTGTCAACCTAGCCATTGGAGATATAGCTGTAGCACTTATCACAAACACAACTGAGATTCTTTTTCTTGCCTTTGGAGATTGGGCTTTGGGGCCTGTTTTATGCAAGCTCTCTGTATATTTACAAATAGTGACACTAGCTAGTGCGACGTTTCTGCTCACAGCTATGAGTATTGATAGATATCAAGTGATCGTGAAACCTATGCAGACTTTGGCCAATCGACCCCGGATATGGTTGAAGGTGACTGTAGCCTGGACGATGGCCTTTGTGTTCGCCCTGCCCCAGTTAGCTATATTCGTGCAGGTGAATAAAGGTGTGAAGTATGACGGGACGCCAAAACGTCTCTGCCTCAGTCGAGGCTACACGGAGGAATGGCAGCGAAAGTTCTATTTTACATTCATGACAACATACATTTTACTGGTTCCAGCGTCTGTTATGTTGTTCTGTTACTCCAATATCATCACAGTTGTATGGGCTCGCGCTTCCACGAACGAGCACCCAAGTAGTAAATCACACTCGCTTTATGGTAAAAAACGACCTACGCCGACACCCCCTAAACCAGGGCAGGATTACCCAAGGATCTCTGTTCGTCGGGGCTTAGTTACAGCATCCAAACGAAGAGCAATTGTGATGACATTGACCGTCATCATCGGTTTTCTCGTGTGCCTCACGCCATATTTTATTGTCACCTTGATGCGGATATATTCCAATTACAAGCTAAAACTCAAAGATGCCTTAATCGTGTCTGAGAACATTTTCATGACTCACAGTGCTCTGAATCCAGTTCTCTATGGCCTCTTCACATTACGACCCAAACATTTGAAGAGAATATTCCGATGTCTTTGCTGTAACAGTAGAAACATACGGAAGTCGAGCGAAAAAAATAGACTCATAAATGGTGGTACGCATCGAAAGTGTCGAGCGTCTGAAGGAACCTTCAAAACCAAAGCGAAGCGAATTACCCTTCCTTCTGCGGAAGTAACCAACGACTTAGTGGCTGAAAATACGCATGCGCTAATGTTACTGAATAAAGGAAATACACCAACGAGCGACGGTGACGGATATGAAAGATCCATTGACGCCAAAAGAGCTCTGTGCAGTGAAAGTTACAGGAAGTATGGTCCACCGGAACAGTGGTTACCGAGTCGCAAGATTAGCAATGATGAATGCCTTAGTGCGGTGTAATTACAAGGGGCTGATTTGCAGCTAATGGCATCCCTCTAGGGACGAATTTCATACTGCACCGTTAGTTGTATCGTGCCCCCCGTGACACTGCTCGTACATACTTCATTATCTGGACTTAAAACGGACTATATGCAAATATAAGGAATGAGTTTAGTGTTATTAATTATATTTCCTTCATTCCATATCTCAAAACGTTTAGCCTCTCCTCTATTGTTTTATTGATTAAAATTTTAAGCCGTTCTGTGAATTATACAAGAATTAAATTACTCATTACACTATCGTGATATGGATTTGTTTATTTATGGGGTGTTAATGAATTTGCTTACTTGTGTCAGAGCTGATCATTTGAAGACAATGGAAGTCTTCGGAAATCGTAATACGGTTTTATTGATTTTTGGAGGTTTTAATGAATTTGCTTACTTGTGACACAGCTGATCACTGGAAAGACAGTGAGTCTTCGGAAATCGTGATATGGATTTGTTGATTTATGGGGGTGTTAATGAATTTGCTTACTTGTGTCACAGCTGCTCATTTGAAATACAATGGTTGTCTTTTGAATCGACTTTAACGTCTCGTAGTCGAATAGCTTTTTATATCCTTTCAAAACGTCAACACCAAGGACTGCTCAGTATGGAATACCTCTCGGAACAGATTTCACAGGGTGTAAAATGCAAACAGTGTTGAATATTTCCTGAATGGATCCATAACACGACTGGAATGACGCACCCGGGACATACTCGACAGATCGGCGTTGTGTTCAAGGTTTGAGTTTCTTTATGGTTTTGTTCCAATGGTATGGATTTAAACTGCCGGATAAAGGGAGATATATGGGACGACTTGATTGAAGCAAACAATTACTCATTTGACCTGAGTGAGTGAGTGAGTGTGTGAGTGAGTGAGTGAGAGTGAGTGTATGCGTGAGTTCAAACTTAACGTCATCTCGGCAATATTTCAACCATATGGTGACGAGAAAGGTCGTGAGTCATTTGATCTGAACGTTACTCGTCTGAAAACAGTGGCCGACACACTGCAAACGAAAGGTTCGAAATACATCTGTGATATCAAATAGGTTACCATCGGATAACCAATTCGTGGTTGTTTTCATTGTAGCAACTATCAAACGTAGCTGTTTACGTTCTTTTGTCCGGCATTTTAAGTCTTGAACTGACATCGAGCGTATATATGTCGAAAACGTTGTTTCTTGTTACATTCTCCTGAAACATTTCTTCTTTAATTTAGTCTGACAGAATCGTATCACTTGCAACTAAGTAACAGCCAAACCTACAGTATATGTTTGTTTGTTCTGATATTAGCACCGCACTTAGCAATAGTCCAGGTAATCACGACGAATCTGTGTTATGGAATCCAGATTTACATACGACGGGCTTAAGCCTTTTTACGACCCTGCTTGTAATCAACAAAGTAACCGCGCATGTCCAACCGATCCGTTCAATCAACTATTGAGACAATAATAGGTTTTTGAGATCACATTCTTACCAAAAAATAGGGGCGGTGGGGTAGCCTAGTGGGAATATTGCCCAATATCTATGTGGGTCCATAGCAATTTTTTGCAGCAAATAGGTCACATGATATAACATAGTAAAGTATGTGCGAATGTTGTCAAGCGGTGCTATATAAAACCATCATCTTGGAATAGCGTCAGAAGATATTAGTTTTCATTGATTGAAGGTTCAGCCATGACAGTCGTCATGAATCTCCACTGATCTTGATTTCATTAACTCAACATGAAAGCACTTTTTCAAGGAAATTTAACTAATTTGGACAGTGATGAATCCGGTGAAGATCTTAGCAATACACTCTTATAAATGCTCTACACTGCTGGAGGTTTTCGCCTGCAGACAGCGGAAGACAGGTGTGCGACTGTCTTGTGTCCTGTTCGACTTACTGGTGAGGTGTGCGAATGTCTTGTGACCTGTTCGACTTACTGGTGAGGTGTGCGACTGACTTGTGTCCTGTTCGACTTACAATTGAGGTGTTCGACTGTCATGTGTCCTGTTCGACTTACTGGTGACGTGTGCGACTGTCTTGTGACCTGTTCGACTTACTGGTGACGTGTTCGACTGTCTTGTGTCCTGTTCGACTTACTGGTGACGTGTGCGACTGTCTTGCGACCTGTTCGACTTACTAGTGAGGTGTTCGACTGCTTGTGACCTGTTCGACTTACTGGTGACGTGATCCACTGAAGGCGATGGTTTACACCGATGACTGAAGATAGCGATAGACCCACGACTGACAGTTGATTATGAAAGCTACTGGTCACACATTCGGCTATAGACAACGCTTAACTATGATGACGTGACTACAGACAGCCATACAAACGTGTACACATATCAACTGAATTAAATATTTGTACACAGTTTCTCATTGAACTGCCGCTAAATGGCCACTTACTTGCCAGTAACAGGTGTGGCATAACGTCTTTTTCTTTGCGCCTACTCTGTCAACAGATTCAGAAAATGGAATTGGATTCAAAGTTAAATGTAGGTTCATGGAAGTAACCATTGACCTGTCATTTATCAAATAATTCACAGTTTTGAAATATGATAATCAGTGCCCAAACTGATGTCAGATTCAGTATGTTATTGTGGCTTTTACCATGCGAGTGGCGTTCAAAAAGTATAGCTATATACTCGATGTCCAAAGCTTCCATTTTATTTTGAAGCAAATAATAGCAAAGCCATATCCAAATCACATATTTAGTAATGTGGTTAACAAGATATTACTTATCACAACAAATTGGGGTATACTAATTCTTACAAAATTGCAGAAAATGAAAAACGATCTGTCATTTGGTACCTCTTGGATAATAGTATGCCTTCAGAAATATGTTCTGTTCCGTATAGTATTGGATCAACGTTCAAAGATTTAGATTTGCATGATTTATACTCGGACGGTGGCTAAAGGTCACACCCATTTTAATCTTTCCAAAACATTGTGACCAGATATTCAAGCTGGCACTGTTTACAATGTATTAAGAGCTGACACTTGTGTGACCATTCAGTATTTAGTTTGAACCCTTGACATCTTGTATGAATAAGTGAAAACATTAGAATAAGTTATGTCCTTATGATTACGTGGGTGGGTAGCGTATCCAAAACAAGCTCATTCGGTAAACACGAGGGAGGGAGTCACTTTAACAAGCGATTACTTTTTATGCACTTTAATATCTAAGTTTGATTCTAGTTTTGACTTCTGCCTATCTTAAACACACAAAATGTTTCTTGCATATTTTGTTTCCTGAAGTTTGTGATGCATTTATTGCAGATTTTCGTTTTTTTGTGGGTACCAGGATAAAAAGTCAAACAAAATCGTGAGGCTGGAACATAGCAAAACCAATTTGCTTGGTTGCTTGGTTGACAGATAATATGTAGAAAAATAAAACATAAAAACAGCTGCAATTGTATAATTTTCTAGATGAGGCTGATTAGTTTTTGAACGCCCCACGTATGTTTCCGTGGTTTATGTTCGAGTGAACAAATGACTTGTTTTTGCATTGTGTTTGAATGGCACCACTGGCGGCTCATGATAAGCTGACCTTTTTTTGGCGAAATCCTTATCTCATCTGAATCACTGTGTGATGTCATAAAGACACGATATTGCTGGAATCATACAACGGAGTTTGCTTATAACTGAGCTTGTTTTTGCTTATAGACGCCTTTTCCTTGATCTGACAACTCTATTAAAGGGTCGCTGTAAGCAAATGTGTCTCTCGTATTTTAATGATTGTATTCTTGACATCCTACGTGGCTTGATTCATTTATGCGAAATTGCAAAAAGCAAACATATCGGATTGCAAATGGGTATTTACTAAAAGTGACAAATTTATATAGCAGCTTAAACACTTACATGAATATCGAATGTAACTTAGCAAATTTTGCATCAATGAATTCCCGTGTTGTTGATTAAGCGCAATATGCAGCTCCAACTCAGTGTTTCTAATTAACTTTGGCTTCAGTTAAATCTGAATTAACGCCAAAAATAGTTAGAGATTTGGCCCAAACGGTAAGATTTAATTTTCTGAAGGGTTATTGAGGTTGGAATTACAAGATAGGTTGACAATTTGGGCACATGTGTTGGACTAGCAGCCTACGTAAATCTGTTTTTAGGAGAGTCTTGTGTACGCTGACCATCTATAGAAACACTAATAGAAGGGCAGGGGTTGGTCACTTGAACTGAGGGGAGGATGTAGAGGGGGTGAAGGAGGCACTCACTCTGCCATCAAACCCAACACGGCATCTCTTTTAATCAATTACCCTGTTGTCCTGGACATCCATTGCCTGGCCGTACTCCCAGACTGCAGCAGTCTGCAGCAATGTTCGTCCTCATCAGGGCCAAAGAACGTCGCCTTTCCGCACTGGTGGAAATTGTTAATTGAATTGTGGAGAACTCTGAAGGCCTAGTCTGAAATGGTTAACTGGCAGCAATATGTGTATTTGTTTGCATCTTTTAGGAAGTAGTGTAAAATGTGTTCAATCGTGGGGATATTATAGCCGTAATGGGAATGCCGTTGTGGAGGTGACATACACTAATATGTTAAAAGTAGGTATACAGCATGTTGGCTTAAGTAAACATAATTGAAACATTCACTAACAAGCAGACGAAACAGAAAGTAGGATTTTTATGTGCAGAGATATTTGACAAAATGTGTGTGAAAGATCAATTTGTGATAGATCAACATAGGTTGTATCTATTTGGCGGTGAGACGGCCTAATCCACAAATTAAATCAGCTTTGTTTATGCAGAATATGCAGATAATGTACATACTGGTCTGGAATGTTGATATCTGATTACATCAGTTTGCAAAGTCAGCCACTAATGCATTATGCCACATATTTCATTAGGAAACAACGGTCTACCTTGGAAGAAAATTGAAAACAGTTACAGAAAAATATATATCGTGACATTTTCATTGCCTCGCCAGAATGTGATGTTGAATTTTCTCGTTTACGAATGTCCCGATTATGAATATATTAGAAAACGTAACGTCAGTGCTTTTCACGGGTATGCAGAGGAAATAAGCCCATCCATTGGTAATAAAACTGTGTATACGAACAGTGGGCGAACTGGCTAAATCGCCAGGCTAGTGATCCAGCGAGCTTGAGGTGATGTGATCGAGCCCATCTGTGACCGGGTGTTAAAACCTTGGAGTCAACTTTGTGTGCAGACTCTTTCAGTGTTGTCACAACCCCTAGTGTACAGTACACAACCCTGTACACTTAAAAGAACCCAAGAATCCGTTGGTATATGACCAGATTGTGG